CAGTACGACGTTAACGGATTGAGTTTAATTATACTGTTAAGATCATGTATACCGTGTAACCGTGCCAAAGCTACAAGGTGCCTAAGTGCGGAAGACGAGTGGGACAGTAGTGAAGTTATTAACAACACCGCCGTTACGCCGTTAGTCCCCAGAGAGCGGGAGTAGAGAGAGAGGAGCTAAGTAGCAGCCAGGTCGGAGCGGCGGTATCGCCGGTGACGAGGAGCAAACCAGAGAACGTTAAAGTCCTAAGGTCGAGGAGAACGTACTTCAAGGCGTTGAGCCTGAAGACTTAGAGAAGAGTTAAGTTGAGAAGGGAGATCTAAGTTGATCTAAGTTGATAATTAAACTGAGGAACTACAGTAGCGTACAGGCAGTATTTATATCTACGGAACGGCGCGGCGGTGCGGAGCGCCAGACTAACTACTAGGAGCTATACGAGTAGTACCTGCAGGGTAAAGTAAAAGACAATAAGGAGAGACTAGGACGAAAGGGTAAAAGACAATAGTGAGAGACTAGAACGAAAGGGTATGTGTAGCGAGAAAGAACAATAAGAGTCAGACTACAATAAGAGCAGATCTTCGGAGTACCGAGCGGCGGAATGGAGGCCCGCGGCATGGACTTAACAATAACGCGTTGAAAGACATCAGTAAGCGAAGATTGCTGACCGTGTCAAGTCTCATGACATAAATTATTAGATAGATATTGGAGCCTAGACCAGAGTCATGTAGAGGGAAGTGTGCCCACCAGGTGCCCAGTAAGGTTTCGGAAGGGTGCCATTAAGGCACCTCTTGTCATAGTGCCCTTCAACTTGCCCGCGGTGTTCTCCAGGATACTCTGACCATTATCTGGGTACAGGCTGGCATGGTCTCCTCCGTGTTATTCCTTACTATCTTGCTCCCTGTGGCATGTGCTATTTATCGTAGCTGTTGCCAGAGGCATGCTGTAGCTGATGAAGAAATTCATTTAGCACCTGGCAACATGGCAGAGGCGGAGGGACAAAAGACCTTGGGAGAGATGCTTGCTCCTCTTCTCAAGGACATCGATGCCATCTATGAGAAGATGGAGGAAGCAATTGAAGAGCCTTTAATCAAATTGCCGCAGTCGAAATCATAAGTCAGTAATTGGGCAAATGTTTTGCTTACCAAGATAGAATGCCTTACTGCTTTGCTCCTCAGTGTTGTCACAGTTAGTTAATAGTGGTCAGTGAGCATCTGCAAAACATGTATTTTCGGCTAACCATCCGAGAGCAGCTGAGAGCGCTTCCCAGCAGCCAAAGCACCGAAAGCAAGTTGAAAATCTTGCTTTCGGTGCTTTCAATGCTGGAGAGCGCTCTCCAGCCAGTACCCTTGCTCTGGCGAACATACAGGTTTTGCAGATGAGTTTTGACCGCCCAGTTAGTCAATGGGGTTATTACTATAAGCCATAGAACCAGATCTCCAATGCGTCTCTCATTATTTGAAGCTCATACATAGTACAAGTTTTCACTCTTCCATTGCTTGAACATTCTGCTCAACTCTAATATGTTGTCATGCCACCACAATCTCTCCTCTGAGAGGTTCTCTGGACTGACATGTCCTGCCGCTTGCCGGCGCTATGTCGTTATAAACTTTAACTAGGCTCCACTGTTGTGGATGGCACCCTGCTTGGTACCAGATGCTTTTCATTACATAAAGATCAGACAAAGATAATAATTTTATTGCAAGTACTACAGATACAAAGAAGCATGATAATCAGTACATACATTGTATTGCAGGCATTTACAGTTTTGACATGGTGTTCTGCTGTTCCAACACCAACCCCTCTACTTCTTTGCCCAGTCCACCATCTCTGACAATGTCTTTTGACCACAGATGTCTGCCAGTACGTGCATCAGTGAATGTGCACCACAGCCCACTGCAATGCCAGAATCCAATGTGTTCAATGCCTTGTCTTCCATTCTCAAAAAACTGTCTTTGTACATGCAGTGGACATATGGATATGTGTGTTGAGAGGAGTATTAAATTCAATGGAATAAAATTTTGGAGGGGAGGTTGCAGGGCACATAAGAGAAGGAGTGTCTTGGGGGATAGTTGACATTGCAGGGAGGTATTGAGCATTGAAGAACAATACACAGAAATTTTGACTGCAAATGGTGCATATTTGAGAGCCACAGGAACAGTATTTGAAGAAAGCATCAATGGCACTGTGACAAGGGACATGATGTTCAAAGGGTAGCAAGACAGTACAATTTGGGGTGGCTACAGAGGGTGTCAAGTCCATGCCTCAGTGTCCCATGCCGCTGCTTGGTATTCTGAGATCTACCATTGATTGTAATCTCATCCTTTTTGTTCTTTCTCGCTACACATTCCCTTTCTACCTAGGCTCTCTCTTATTGTCTTATTCTCTACCCTGCAGGTACTACACATATAGCTCCTAGTAGTTAGACTGGTGCTCTGCCCCAATATGCCAAACTGTATGTATAAATACTACCTGTATAATACTGTAGTTCCTCAGTTCAATTATCAACTTAGATCAACTTAGATCTTCATCTCTCATCCTTTCAGTCTTCAGGCTCATCACCTTGAAGTTCTCCTTACTCTAACCTCAAGACCTTGACGTTCTTTGGTTCGCTCCTCGTCATCGGCAATACTGCCGCTATGACTTGGCTGCTTCTGGCTCTCTTCCTTCTCTACTCTTGATCTCCAGGGACTAGCGGTGTAACGGCGGTGTTGTTAATAACTTCACTACTGTCCCATTCGACCTTCCGCCCTTAGACACCTTGTGGCCTCTGGCACGGCTTCATGGTGTACATGATCTTAACAGATATTCCATACCAGTCACAAGAAATAATACAATTTAACACAGTGTTACTTTTGTCCAAATAAGGAGAAACTCCTACCATAAAAGGAAATTGGTTTTGCATGGAGTGCCATATAACTTGTTAACCATGGCAAAATGTAATCTTGCAAACCAGAATTCATAAGAGTGAAAAAAAATAGAGAGAAAGTGTAAGACCTGGGTCAGAATAGGTCTTAGGATAGGTTTGGTATGAGAAGTTTACGTTGTAGCGTGCTAGGAGCAGGCTGGAGCTCGAAGGGAGCTACGGAAACTGCGACTGAGGACGGGAATGACCTAGTAGTGGCTGGAATTGAGAGATGTGACCCTTGAAGGGGTTCCTGTAAGGTCCAGGGAGGTCCCTAAGACGTAAAATAGAGGAGGTGGAGGTACGAAACCTAGTAGCGTTGCGTAGAAGGAGTTGTACTTGCTAAAATGTCAATGTGAGATTGAATAGGTCGTATAGAGAATAGGTCTTGAGTGTATAAGCTCCTGAGAAGGTATACGCCCGGAAGGGGAGGTCCCAGGAACTGGGGGTTGGAGGTGGACGTCCTCGAGCGTTGGAGGTGGTAACGGAGAAGCGACAAGTAGTTCGACGTTACCTAGACTGAGGTCCCAGAGCTTATGGAGCAATTGGGGAGCTCAAGGAGGTTTTGGGGAGGTTGGCTCACCAAGGCGGTAGGCGTTGGGGAGCTTTTAGTATTGTTCGAGGGAGCTTGGAGACTCACTCGGATTGCTTAGACGTGAAGTTAAAGCGTGTATTGGACCGTATAAACGATTGTAGAGGCGATAGACAGAGTTGAGAGAAACAGAGATAAAGAAATAGAGAGTCAAGAGAAATCCGTATGGTTAGCAGGTACAAAGGGACAGGGACTGGACCTATGCAAAAGGGTATGTGTTCAAAATATACCAAGCTGGGGCTTCAGGACATTGCGGCATTACTTGAATAGGTACGGGAAGTGAACAAGAGAACATCTGGAGACATGAGGCAGCTAATCGGAGGGAGGAAGGTAATCGAGATTAATACTTAAAGGGGTTGTTGGCTAGGAGGGTTTTCATACGCGTGTTGGGGTGAAGGATGTTTGGGTAGTTGCGTCAGGAATACTTGAGGAGGTGTCTGATGGTACTTGGGGAGGTGCAGAGGAAATACAGGAGGTGGGTAGGACGTATGGCAACGTGTGGCGGGTACTGGGACTGGTCTGGTTGTAGCCAGGGCATGACAGAAAGCCCATCTCAGGCTCCAGAACTTGGTCCTTCAGTGCAGAGTTGAGCCATTCCTTAGTATAGAAGTTTAGAATAATATAATATATAGAAAAGCAAGTAGTTGAAGAAAGCCTGAGGGTTGATACTAGATCAATTCAGTCCAACTACATAGATTTCTTGAAAAACTCTTCATCTGACTCAGCAGGACCAAAACAGAAGCAAGTTTAAGGCAAGTTCTCAAGCCTATCAGAGCTTGAAAACTTGCCTTCTTAATCTGTAACCAAGGCAAGGCAAGACAAGCTCAGGGTCCAAGGTAACTTGACCTTGCAGCAGCACTAATACTGACTGAATGTCAAACTCCCATATGTACTGGCTGCCTCTCAGGGACCATATCACCAAGAGATGGCATTATTACCTGATACTGTACAGTTTGAGATAGATCACACAGTTGGTGGTGCCAACCCACCTCAGTTGCTACAATAACAACTGAGTTCAACTTATGCTAACAATAACAACAATACTTTTGTAAACTCCAGCCTCATAATTGCAGGTGTAGCAAAATTATTTCAGATGTAGCTGCAATATCCTTTGATGCAACTGTGCATCTTTGTTTTCATGTGAGTAGCTGGCACCCAAAGGGTGCCCAAATGTAATACACTCAATAAGCAATGTTATTTTAGAAAAAACCAGCCAAGTTTATGCCATGCACACAATGCAGTGGCCCACAATCCCATGTGGCTAATGCAAGTGAGAGTGGAAATGAAAATAATTATTTTGGGAGGACTGGTAGGAGGAACACATTAGAAAATACATTGAGCAATAGATATGATACATAGAAGAGGAAAAATAATGTGGCTAGGGGTGAAGTAGAAGCTATAAAGTAGTATGAGAATGGAAACAAATAATGAGAGAGAAATATTAGTGGTGTTCGGCAATTTTTGAACCAACCAAAACAAACAGATCTAAACATGACCAAAATATGCCTGCACAAAACAATCTAAATTCCGGAGTGCAATAGACCTTGCAAGCAAGGTGATTTGTCCGCCTGGTCTCCAATTGTATTTGATGGCGCGGTGCCGACGTGTGCCGAGCTTGTGTCGGCTCCATGATCAATCGATTATGAGTAATCCTAGATTGGAGTGCGTCAGCTGTTACTGTTTCATCAATACTCTCTACCATTGACCACCGTCTCATAACTGGGACATAACTCTCACACAACCACTAATACTACGTAGAATGAGGCTTTTCTCCTTCATTCGATGCGCCGTTGCTCTCTATGGGCTTACTCTCGAAGCATTCTACCCTTTTGATGCTTTGCCCGTGACCGTCAGCGACGAAATCAAGGAAACGCTGAAGGCCCAAGCGAAGGATGTCAACTATATCTCTGCCATCATTTCTCTCTCCTTTCTTACCATTTTCCTCTATCTTATTGCGGTATTCTCGGTCGTTCATGGAGCTGTGCGTATTGCGATGTACTATCGTCCCAAATTCCGCGAATTGGTAGAAAAACGCATGGCAGAGAGGGCTCTGAAAGCTCAGAACAAGAAGAAGCACTCTAAACGTGCCGTCTTGCGAAGCGTTATGTTCAATCTGCTTTTCAGCGTCCTCTTAATCATCAATGATATCATCTTCAATCGACCTGAAGATGCTTCGTCGTTTAAGGAGGGCGTTACGGAGCGCTTCGAGTACCTTCTCCAGGGCGCTATGTCTATCGCCTGCGTCCAGTTCCTCGCCCTCTCCTGCACGTTAATCTTCGCCGTCTTCTTCTCTGCGGCACGTGCTATTTATCGTGGCTGTCGCCAGAGGCGTGTTGTAGCTGATGAAGAAAGTCGTTTGGCACCTACTGACATGGCGGAGGTCGAGGCGGAGGGACAGAAGACCTTTGTTTTGGAGGAGAAGCTTGTTGATCTTTCCGATGGCTTCGACGTCATCTATGAGAAGATGGAGACCTATGCTGCTCCTCCTGCTGTCGAGGCGGAGGCTATTGAAGAGCCTTTGATCAAATTGTAGCGGTCGAAATCATAGGTCAGTTCTTGGGCATTTTGCTTACCATCTACAGGTAGAATGCCTTACTGCCCCTTGCCGATCTTACTTTTTCAATATTTATCATGTGCAGATCACCCTCCATATATGAACCTATTTTATCTATTGTGATGGGAGATCATGTTGAATACCTGTTTTGTTTTGTGATGGGAGATCATGTTGAATACCTGTTTTGTTTTGTGGTCAAGTTGAAGTACTAGGTTACACATTCGTGATGCATTCTAGCTGTACATGATACGTTCTCTTGTGAATTCTTGCTTCCACGAAAGGTGCATATCTCAGCTCTACCTTCCCTTGTATGGACTGCTTATGTCTCCATTCAAATTGACCAACATCTGCGAGCAACTATCGGAACATTTTATCTTATCTCACCCTGATCTCACCATTGATATTGATTTATTTGCAGCCAACTTAGGTTGAAAGAAGATTTATCGTGAACTTCCGTCCGTATCAGCTTGCATCTCCGCTATCTGGGCATCAACTTTCTACATCACCAATGATAGATATTACCGCAGACATCGTGAATGTTGTTCGATCGTCTCCTTCGATCCAGGCGCTACAACTTGGCTCTGCATGCAGTCCGGACGAACTTGACTTCATGGCAAAAGTCAAATCCAAAGATGGGGTACTTATGGGAAAGCGTCAACTAATCGATCTGTAGTCCCGGGAGTACATGTATGACTCTGAGCTGGCCTTGGATAGGGAAAATATTTTAGAGAAAAGAAAAGAAGTGTAAAGGGGATCATTCACTGAATGCCTGGAAGATATTCTTCTTTGCATGAAGTAGGTCTTATAACCGTCGACCTGCACTGCGAAATCATTTGACTCAATCTGGTTCCACTGGTTAGGGATAACGGAGGTTTCGATGTCGTTCAAAACACGAATTTCCCTAAATATTGATTGAGCAATATATACACTGGTCCAGAAACCCAAAGTACAGACGTGGCATCCATTTGAGCATTCCATTCAATTTTCTCAACTCCATACTCATATATGATTTCGATGAGCGATTTTACGAGACCGCAAGAGTTCTATGAAAAGTCAAGCAAATATACTCAATATTCTAGCAAAACAAATTGCCTTGTAAGCCTTGAGAATATTGCATACTAGCGACGCCAAAGAAGCAAGAGGATCGTTGAGCCTCTGAGCTCTATCCCGTAGACTGATCAGAATATAGACGGAAGGCCTGAAGGACTCTCTAGCCTGAACATGAGGGAGGCGCATCTGGACAGGCAGAGATATAGTCATAGGGAGCAATGCCAAGTCACAATCTGAGAACAATGGACCTTTATAGAAGTCGCCTCGAACACGAGATCATCAACTTACATCTACTACCATACATGATAAAAGTTTCTGCTTACTGCGTCCTTCATTGACGGCTTGAATGGGTTTTAAATGAGGCTTGAAGCTCATGATAGCTTCGGTGTTGGCACTGTGCGTTCTCCGAATTAGTCTGCTCAATTCAGAAACAGAACAACCATATCGGATATGAACATGCGTATAGGGGGTTTGAGCATTGACACAAGAGAGATACGCCTTTCAAATGGCAGGCCGGCCTCAGCCAATATTCATCCTGTTGTAATTTGATGTGCTTGATGTGCTAGTTCTAGGACCATAAACGCATGCAGTCAATTAAAGAAGTTCAAGTTCAAATTCGACGACTCAGTGATTGCGGACCGATTTCCGAGCGTCGTACTTTCCATGAGGATTGTAATCAGCGTGGAACTCATCTTCGCACCAGCACCGCTTTGTAGTCAGCTACCTTCAGCTATCCAGTCATTTTCTTACATCTAGAATTTTTACCAACGGACATTCAGACGCCTGGTGCTACCTAATACCGTGAAAACTGAACGGTTTGCGGCTCATTGGAGATCCTGCCAATGCCTTAATGAAAATGCGAGCACAGAATATACGTATCCACAGGAATCGACACGGGAATGAACATCAACCGAAAGATTCTTGTTACAAAGGATTACGCCTATCTGTATGAGCGCATCTAGTGGTTTCCAGCTAATACTCAAGAATACATACTACGATTTTACTTACTACATGATCACAGTGCATCCAGGAACTGATGTTGTCTGTTTTATGTTGGGTATGTTGGGAACCTACGGCACTGACTGGCACTGACTGTTTAGTAGGTAAAAGCGTTTCTCTCTGGTACATTGCAGCAATATGCAAATTTCTGAGGGACTGCCGTACGTGAAAGGTCAAGGTCGTGGGTCAACACGCGCTTGCCTTACTCTTGTTCCAGCCCGCTGCCTTCGCTTATTGAACGTCCCAGCTTGTTCTGCGTATCCACATCTGAACCTCGATACAAGAGTTGGGGGGAAACAATGTTTCCATTCAAATGGAATATGCCGACTTGGGACCTGAAAGAGCTCAAGGAAGGGTACGCATTTTGTGTATTGGGTGGCCCATCGATTTTCTAATAACTTCTACAGTTTGAAACTTGTACCAGGTCATTTTTCCCAAGAATTGCAAGGGCGGTCTCCCCCAAAAACTAGGCTCAAATGGGCTACATCGTCGTCCTTATCCGGAGCCTGAGTCACAGGAAAAAACTCCCAACGAAAATTAATTGGAAACTTGGGTAGGTGCTGCTGCTTTATCAACGCAGGCTGGAAATATCGAATTTGAGCAACTTGAAGGTACTCCGGGTACGGGATGAATATCTTGGGAAAAAATCCGAACTAATCGTACACCTTGTACTGCACTGCACTGTTCACTGTTTCCAGTTCTACTCTATCCCATTCAGCAAAAATTGAATAATGGAGGTCTCATCGCTTACAAGTACGATGCCGCGAAGAAGTGTGATTTTTCCACCTCCGCTCCTGTTGACATTCTGACAGATTGCTGGATCCGAAAGGCCCCCAATTGGTGCAAGGGACCATGTGTCCACAACCTTGGCAATCTCCATCGCCAAATCCGTATGAAGTACTTTTGGGGACTTCCCCGCTACCGTATGAACTGCCTGCCAAATAGGAAGTAAAAAATACTGTTTCTTTTGGAACACTGCCCTGGTGAGACAATAGGAGATACATAGCACGCATTTGAATTTTTACAATGAAGATGGAAGAAAGGTTCAAGTCAGTAACGCTGATGTAGCGCCACCTCCTTCCATTTTCATCCAAGCTACTACCGAGCAGCTAGCATTCAGCCTGACAAGATCGACGAGGTTGCTGTAGATTCAGATCCCAGGACCATGAACGCATGTACTGAAGTCGATCAGAGTATAGCTCGTGTACACCTCGCCATGAACCCTCATTGTAGATACCAGGTTTGCAGTTGTCTCTGAGGTGAAATGGTGACTATCAGAAGCAAAGTACTTAAATAGAGCCAAAGCACCCGCGTCGTTTGTTTTGATCTGCTTGAAGTGTTGCTTTGCAATTGTGCAGTGCTGTGACGATTCTCACATGAATAGAAAGTGAGATTACTTAGCCTCACATTTGCACCCATGCTACAAACCGACGTAGAATTATCAGAAACTGCTCTACAGGCACACTGCTTACACCTTACTCCAGGCCTACTCACCCTATTCCTTTGAGACCCTCTTGAATCGATCCAACGCAGAGCTTTTCTCTTGTGGTTCATCGCCATATTTGGCCTTACGAATTTCTGCTTTGCGCTCGGCTTTTTGTTTTTCAATTTTGGCCCGGATGGCGACCTGGAGAATAAAATCATGAGAATAGGAAATAGGACAAGACAGCTCTGAGTGGTAACAACACTCGCGATACAGGGGGATAGATTGTGAATTACGGTAAAACCAAGAGGGTACAAGAAGAAAAATATGTTACTCACGGCAGCAGGATCGATAACATTCTTCCTCTGCTTCCTCAGATACCTTTTCAAACTTTTGCCTTTTCCACGCATCTTTCTTTTCTCTTGTGCCTCGTTATCTACCTTTTTCCTCGTATCATCACTGCCGTCGGCAGATTCTGCATCAGAGTGAAGCTCTTCAGTCAGATCGGCTTTGCCTGAAACTCGTAACCGCTCTGCACGAGGGAGGCGGGCAAAAGGTATTTCTGCCGCGCGTGAGGATCCTGTGCCACCTAGGAGAAAGGGACGATCAGATAGAGAGCGAATTTTCAAAAGATAAGTCACTTGCCATTTGTATGGATTGTCAATTTTGAAGGAGGCGCCAGGCTTCCGACGATTTCTGGGTCTAAAGTAATCATATCGGGTTGAATCTGTTTTCCAAAAAGTCAGATCATGTTGCGTAGAAAGGAAACGTTCATACCTTATCCAACAAGCCCCGGACTTCCCTCTCCCTGCGTCCTTTCACGCCCTCATACAGATCTAGACCTTCACCAGTATCCATGCCGCCCTCCCCGGCACCGGGAACCAAGATACTACTTGTACCCTTTGCGTGTCCGATAGTAAGGATGTCTTGTAACGGAGCGAAACGCAAAGATGTTATAGGTCTGTGAGAGGCGGACGGGAGCGGATGTGTCAAGTAAAGAGGCGGTTGAGAAGAAGAGTGATGTGGTGTTTTTATTGAAGGGGACGTATACATGTTGACACTCCCACCGCTTCCAACAGCAAGAACGCCTTTCTGACTCCATTCCACTTCCGCATCTCCTTTTCCACCGCTTCTCAAGGTCCATTCTCGCACAGCTCCTTTCCAGTTTCTGCAGTCCCATACCTTCACACTCCCGTCCTTTCCTGTAGTGGCCATGTACCTTCCACTTTCGCTAGGATCGATAGATACACCGGATAAAGGACCCAGATGTGCGAGGACTTTAACCGCGGGATGCGGAAGGTTGGGCGTCCACAGAGTAACACAACCGTTTTGATGACCCAGGTAAAGAACTGCATTCTGAGGATTTTGTGCGAGGACAGAACATGAACCGAGAGCGGTACGATGTTCTGCAACAAGTTGGCCAGTTGAGGTATCCTGATATTTTAAGTATCCCGCAGTACCGACGCTGGCAAGAAGCCAATGATAGGGCAGAAACTCCAGTCTTGTGGGGCTAACGTGAGCTTTCAGTTTGTGTATCTCTACTCCGTCTCTGTCGTAGATGAAAACATATTTCTGTTGTGCGACGGCGTAAAAGGAATGGTCCTGTAAGAAAACGACATCACTACATGTTTCACCAAGCTGAAGTTCACTGTGAACAGCGCCTGTGAGGGTATCGAATGACGCGACATGTCCTGTTCTTCCAGCAATTGCCATATGTCTTCCGTTCTTTGTGTATCGGACTCTATAAGGTCCTCCATCAAGCTTCATCTCAAGACGCCCTCGCGCAGCTTCTCCTCCAGCCTCTTTGACAATGTCAACCTGCGAAAGCCTCCATGTCCTCTCCATCGTATCTTCAGCCTGGACAAATCCCGTCTCTTCTGAAGGCAGTAGGTCAATGGCATCGGAGAGAAGAGCTTGAGATTGTGCAATGTGGGTTGAAGTTTTTACAAGAGAACGCCGAAGTTTCGGATTGGCGATGTGTTTATATTGGGGAGCATCCGCTGATTTGTCTGTTCGAGATCGTAAAGATGTCGGTAGAGACGTGTTTTTAGTTATCGAGGCGGATGTCTTGTCGGATTTTTGCGAAGGGCCAGGTTTGGAATCGGAAGGATGCGTTCTCTTCCGTTTTTTATACAGGGGCTTAGTAGCGTCAGCTTTGGCGATAAGCGCGTCCATGGCGAAAGCTGGTGAAAGAAGGTGAAAGATTTTGAATTCTAGAATTCGAGAAAAAGCAAACGTGAGAATACGATTCTCGATTCTCGATTCTCGATCACATGCACAACCAAGCATTTTTACTGCTCATTATCATGAACGCGTCCTCAATCATAGTGGTAGCTCTTATCACCCAGCCAAATTCATTTTCTTGTTACCAAGAAGCACGATGTAAATTGTGGAGTTTTCTAGTTCCCAAATGAGCAAGGGTTTTCATTACACATCGAAATCTATCATTATTCTACACCGAGGAACCAAGGATCGTTCAGTAACTCAGCGGCTGTTGGCCTATCGGCCGGATTGAGCTCGAGGCACCGTTTCACAATCTTATTCGTGCTCTTCACATCCTCTGGACTGAACTTTTTAGTGCTGTTAATCTGCCCTCTAATGGGAAACAATTGCAGAGGAAGGGAATGTGTGAACGTGCCTTAAAGTCCAATTGTTAGTACGTCTTTTGCCCAATATGTGCGGCAGGAGCAGACTTACAGTCTGTTTCAAAGTATAGTGATGCAAGTCTGCTGTGCTGCAACACCTCCGCGGGGAAATCTACCTTACAAAGAAAACATGCCATTTGATAAAGGTGGTGGGCTATCTCGTCTAGGATAATATCTGTGTTCGGATCTTTGTAACCTTCATGTCGAAATAGAGACCGTCCTACGACGAACTCGAATATCTGAAAATATGAATAGACCCACAACTATGAATACTGACAAGTCTCACGTACCAAGCATCCAAACGCCCATATATCCACCTTCTCATTCCAGGATCCATGGAGAAGCACCTCGGGTGCTCTCAAGGGAGCAGCTGTGATTTCATCCTCCTTAGGCTTGTTGGAGAGCTGGGCTTGATAAGATATTAGATCAAAGTTGCGAAAAGCACGAATGAAATTTCATACCATTCCCGAAATCTGCATGACTGGGGGTAAGGCCGCAAGCGGCAAGGGCCGAACATTTAGTACTACTATATCCAATATATACATAACTAGCCAATCTCCTGAGTATTGTGATGTATGTATACACAAACAGTATAGCACTTTGTAATGCCCTGTAAGGCAGTGGCCCAATATTTGACTGTTGAGTATGTTGAGTGACCATGTTCATGAATGATACTTGCAGAACATGTTAAGATCATGTACACTGTGTAACCGTGCCAGGGCCACAAGGTGTCTAAGTGCGGAAGACAAGTGGGACAGTAGTGAAGTTATTAACAACACCGCCGTTACGCCGTTAGTCCCCGGAGATCGAGAGTATAGAGGGAGGAGCTAAGTGGCAGCCAAGTTGGAGCGGCGGGAATGCCGATGACGAGGAGCGGACCAGAGAACGTCCAAGTCCTAAGGTCGAGTGGAACGTACTTCAGGGCGTTGAGCCTGAAGACTTAGAGAAGAGCTAAGTTGAGAAGGGAGATCTAAGTTGATAATTAAACTGAGGAACTACAGTAGTGTACAGGCAGTATTTATATCTACGGAACGGCGCAGCGGTGTGGAGCGCCAGACTAACTACTAGGAGCTATACGAGTAGTACCTGCAGGGTAGAGTAAAAAGACAATACAGAGAGACTAGAACAAAAGGGTATGTGTAGCGAGAAAGAACAATAAGAAGAGATTACAATAAGGAGTGGATCTTCGGAGTACCGAGTGGCGGAATGGAGGCCCGAGGCATGGACTTGACAGTATCCCCCTCTTAGGCTTGAGCCCTCGAAAGCCATTAATACCGGGAGTTGATTAGTCACCAAAGGCCGTCAACATCGGGAATTTGGCCTATCAGTCAGCAGGAAAATTTTCAAAAGCCGTTGGTACCGGGAATTGGTGTTAGTCATCAATGAAAATTTTCGGTTCACCGTAAACCAAACACAATTCGAAGGAAAATTTTCGCTGGTCCGTGCGCCGTTTTGTCCCGATAAAAAGGGCCAGATTTTGCCGCTATGGCCCTATCTTTTCCCAGTTTTCCTAAGTCCAAAAATGTCCACTAGCCACACCCAAACCATTACCACCAACTCTTCGTCGAACGCCGGGACTTCAAGGTCCCGCCCTGCTCCACCCCCGACCACCGACCCCATGGAACCTGAGGAAGATGACTTGGAGGAGGATGAGGATGAGATCATTCGACGGGCACAGGAAAAGGTCCATAGGATGAAGGAGAGGAAGGCGGTGGCAGCTCAACAAAAGGCCAAAGAAGAGGCGGCCAGGAAGGCAGTGGAGGAGGAGCGGAGGAAGCGGATGGCGGAAGCGGCCACAGCCCGCAGTCGGCGTGGCTCTTCCCTCAGGGAGGGTTCGAGGTCTCCTTGTAGGCCGGTAGTGGTGATTAGGAAGGAGAAGGGGAAAGGAAAGGCAAGGGCCCCGGTGAGTACCCAGTAACCCTGGAATCTTTTCTTGTACTAACCACTAAACTTACAGCCCGTGGACGAGGATCCGGATGACGGCGGTGACGGCGACGAGGACGAGCGATGCCAAAACAAGAAACTCTCTTGCCAGATGCAGGCTGGCAAGAGAAGCTCCATTATTTGTAAACCCTGCCATGACGCGAAGGTCAAGTGTTCGTATTCCGGGTGGCCTTCAACGGTCAAGCGAGAGGAGGGAGGGCAGCCGACCGGTGAGCGCCTGGCGGTTCTGGAAAGCCAGGTAGCGCAGTTACTCGCGGATAATCGACAACTCTGGGATGGTCAGGTAAAGGCGAATACCTACCATCACCACTTCAATCGCAAGTTGGACTGGCTGATCACGGATGCCGCTAGAAGGAGGAGAACGCCACCTGAACTACCAGAGGCCGGGCCATCGGGAGTATCGAAGAAGAGGCGAAGGGTAGTAGACAGTGATGAAGAAGAGGAGCGGGAGATTGAAGAGGAGATGGAGGAGGAAGGAGAAGAAGTGGAAGTGGAGGTGGAAGGAGGAGAGGAGGGAGATGAACCGGCGCCAAAGAAGGCCCGGTCGGAGAAAGGGAAGGAGAGGGAGGAGTAGAGCAACAGACATCGGACATCGGCCCCTCGGCCCTTCTTGTACTTTTGTAATTTTCTTGTGTCCTTCTGTCTTCCCTACATTATTTTCTTTTGCTTTTGTATATATAAAAATATTAACGCAATTTGAATCGGAAAGCGAATGGGCCACGAAGTGGCGTAAGAAATGATTAGCTTGAAGTATAGGTAGCTTAAGTGTGTAGGAAGAATAAGTGACTGTAACTAAAGAAACAAAATAAGCAATTAAGAAAGAGAGGTAAACACTCAATTTGCTATCATCATGTTTACCCTCTAAACACACGAAGTAAACTTCGGCGGAGCATGGCAAAAACGGGGAAAAGGAATAAAATGTTTTTTGTGATCAAGGTCCAGGTTTGTGAGGGTATCGGGCATGGAATGCCGGTACAAGTTCGTCAGCATGTAGTTCATCCGCAGCAACCCAAGAGAACTCATCGTCGGTACCTTCGTAACCGGCCCACCGAATGTAATAACGTAAAGGACAACGCTTATACCTTCTGTCCAACTTGGAGTCAAGGATTTCTGCAACGTTGTATTCCTCTTCACCATCAACTTCAATTGGAGGTGGAGGAGATTGAGTTCGATTCGGGAAAGGGTTCGGCGTAACCGGCTCCAGCTGAGAGACATGGAAGACCGGATGAATGCAGCGAAGATAGTCCGGGAGCTTGAGCTCGTAAGACAAAGTACCACGTCGACTGATGACCTTGAAAGGACCAAGATATTTTTCTGAGAATTTTTCAGTAGGACGAGTAGATCGAATATGCTTAGCCAGAACAAAAACTTCGGAGCCGATTGGGAACTCCGGATGCGAGATTCTTTTCCTGTCAGCTTGTTCCTTGTAACGGGATTGAGCTAGAAGGATTTCCTCTCGAAGGAAAGTGTGGAGTTCATCAAGGTTGACGACGAAGTCTCTAGCTAGGTCAGACTTCATGTCGACCTCGGGCCAAACGGTGATATTTGGATGGTATCCTTTGTTAGCAAAGAACGGAGTAATACCAGTGGAAGCATTGGGAGCATTGATATAGGCGAACTCGGCGATCGGAAGTAAAGGCGACCAGTCATCTTGTTGGTAGGAGCAATAGATCCTGATGTACTGCTCGAGAGTCTGATTGACACGCTCAGTCTGCCCATCGGCTTCCGGATGATATCCAGAGGTATAGTGAAGTTCCATGGAGAGCACTTTACCGAGAGCCCGGAAGAACGCCGAAACAAATTCGGAACCACGATCAGAAGTGACATGATTAGGAACACCATGCTTAGAGAAGACATGAATAACAAAAAGCTCAGCTAGTTGTTCGGAAGTGATGGTGTCGAAAGTAGGAATAAAAATAGCTTGCTTGGAAGATCGATCCACAACGACTAGAATAGCTGTATAACCATTCGACATTGGCAGTTGCTCAATGAAGTCCATAGAGATGGAATCCCATGGTCGGACCGGAACCGGCAGAGGTTTCAACAAGCTGTAAGGCCGATGACGGCGGGGCTTATTGCGACCACAGATAGTGCAGGAAGTGATGTAGTCACGAACAAAGTCTCTGACCTTAGGCCAGGTGTATTGACGACGTACAGCTTCTAAAGTGCGGTTCTGGCCGAAATGGCCAGAGAGTGGGTGATCGTGAAAGTAGCGGAGAACTTGAAGGCGAAGGTCGCCGTGATTAGGGACATAAATACGGTCGTCAAGGCGTAGTAGCTTGTCACTACCTAAGCTCCAACGTTCATTGGAAGGATCTTTAGCAAGTTCCAAACCAACAACGGAGCTCGGATCGGCGGGAAGGGCGAGGATGATTGCCTGGTGTAGGGCTTCGATATCCATGATAATCGAGGCTCGTAAAGCCGGGCCTTCCAGGAAGGTAGCTCGAAGAGATGCAGTGAGTTGTTCGTTAGTAAAGATCAGACGGAAGTTATGAGGGTTCACTTGGGCGTAGCTGATATCCCCCTCTTTAGGGTAGACGTCCCAGCGTCTAGTTATCGAATCAGGTTTCTTGCTGAGTTTCCCCGGTCGGAAGCAAATGACCATATTAAATTGATGTAAAAATTCTGACCATCGGACCTGTCGGCGTGTAAGAACCTTGGTAGTAGAAAAATACTCAAGATTCTTGTGATCGGTGACGACGTCCACCGGATCACCCGAGCCTTCCAGATAATGATGCCAAGCTTTAAAGGCCTCGAAGATGGCCAGAAGCTCTTTGTCGTGGGTATTGTAGTTGAGTTCCGCCGCATGAAGCGTTCTGGAAAGGAAGGCTAGAGGATGAATTTCACCATCAGCATATTGGATGGAAAGAATTGCCGCAATGGCGTAGTTGGAAGCGTTGGTCTCCACAATAAGTGGGCGATTCGGCTCCCAATGGGCCAGTATTGGCGCAGAAGTGAAAGCAGTTTTGAGATTTTCGAAGGCCTCTTGACAGCTGCTGTCCCTGATCCAGGAAGCGCCTTTTCGGGTAAGCCGAGTCATTGGCACAACAATATCACTGTAATTATAAATAAAACGACGATAGAAGTTTGCAAAACCCAGGAAGGACTGAATGTCCTTAACCTTCCTTGGGACCGGCCACTCTAAAACTGTCTGAACTTTCTCCTTGGACATAGTCAATCCATTGGGAGAAAGAATATAACCCAAATACTCAACAGTATCCATATTGAATTCGCACTTCTCGGGGTTGGCGTAAAGCCGATGTTTCCGTAATTGCCAAAGAACCTCCTTGACGTGTTCTTGGTGTTCTTCTGGCGTATCAGAGTAGATCAGAATATCGTCAAGATAGACAATGACACAAACATCGAGCATGTCAGAGAAGATGTCATTAACAAAATGCTGGAAAGCCGCAGGGGCGTTCATAAGGCCGAACGGCATAACCTTCCATTCGTAGGAGCCGTAGCGGGTCCGAAAGGTGGTTTTCCATTCGTCACCTTCAGCGATTCTGACCAGATGATAAGCGTGAGCGAGATCCAA